CGATGGTTGAGGGCAGTGAGGGCAGCCGGCAGCGAGTCCCCCGTTCCCTGCTCCTCCCCACTCATGGCGGATGGCAGGCCTCCTGGGCCTCCTGGCGAACGGGGCCGACCCCTCCACTCCCTCACGGACGGCAGCCACCCCTCCTCGACCCAGGAGCGTGGCAGCGAGCTCTCCGTCCCACCTCGTCTTCCATAGTTCCAGCACCACCGCCTCGGGCACCATGTAACACAGTTCGTAGTCACGGGAAGAAGGAGGCGGGAACCGGCGAACACTTAAACAAAACTTTAATCAAATAAACAAACACAAAACGAAAGTAAAGCGGCAGCCCCTCGCGGACGACTGCCGCACACAAAACACAAAATAAAGTCCAGGCCTGGTCCTCTCTCGTCCGACACTGTCGTCACTCCTCCCTTTTATTCTTCCGGAGCTCCTCCGTGAGACTCGAGACCGGTGAGTGGTGCAGGTGTCGCTCATTATCAATTACTCCACCGGCCTTGCTCCATTCCCACGGCTCTCGGCCCCGCCCCTCTCGTCACAGGCCCACGTCCGTGGCCTGGGCAATCTTCAGCCTTATCTGAGGGAAATGCTATTCGAGGATAGCTGTGTCCAGCCCTCTTCTGGTCAATAATGCAATGCTTCGCTAGCCTACTGTAGGACTGACACTGATTGGGGACCTACTTAGTATAGCCATCTGAGGGTGGTTATACTCCAGCCATTGTTATGGCAGCACGGGCTTACTTGAATACAGATATCTGAGGCTAGCTGTGTTTTAACTTGCAGTTTCGGTAGCCTTCTCCTGGAAATGTAGCTATCTGAGGATAGCTATGTGCTAGTTCTGTGATTGCTCCCCTGCATGGGGTTTTTAAGTAGCGGTCTCCTGCCTAGATAGTGCTGTCTCCCCTTACAGGGTTTTTAATTAGACAGCCCACTGCTGGTGGTCTTGGCAATTGTAACGGTCCCTTTTCTTAGAGCCAAGCTGTCTGAGGATAGCTATGTGCTAGCTCAGTAATTGCTCCCTTGCTTAGGGTTTAAAGTAGCGGTCTACTTGAGCTCTTACCAAGACAGTGCTGTCTCCCCTTTTTGGATTGTAAGTAGACAGGCCCACTCCCTGTGGTTTGGGTAGTTTCTGTCGGTCCCCCTTCTGGTAGCCCCTTTCTAGATGCCTTGCTTTCTGAGGATATCTATGTGCTAGCTCAGTGACTGCTCCCCTTCTTTTGGTCTTTAAGTAGCGGTCTTCTTGAACCCTTGCCTAGACAGTGCTATCTCCCCTGCAAGGGTTGTAAGTAGATAGCCCACTCTCTGTGGTCTGGGCAGCTTTGTAGGAAGACATTACCTGGCTATCTAGGCTAGCCGTGTATTCTCTATTTTTGGTCTACGAGCCATCATAAGAAACTTAGGACATAGCAATCTGAGGATAGCTGTGTTCTAGCTCAGCAACTACTCTCCTTACCCTGGGATTGTTAGTAGCAATCTCTTTGAGCCCCTCTAGAGGCTTCTAGTTCAGCCTCATCAGTGGTCTTATGTACAGTATCTAGGCTAATATTGCTCTCATAGCATAGCTATCTGAGGATAGCTGTGTTCTTAACTTGGGTGGGATGTGCCCCTTTATCTGAATCGGGTTACCCCATTTCTGCCAGGTTGTGTGAGTGGCCCGAGGTGTCAGTGGCTTGGCTCCTTTCTGAGGAAAAGCTTGTTGTATGTCTGTCACTTCCTTGGCGCTCTCTTACCAGGTGGACAGGCATACACCTTGGCATGACGTGATTGGATTCCGTTCCCCATTGTGTCCACTAGAGGCACGCAGCATTGAATTACCTAGAAGGGGAACGTCTCGGGTTACGAATGTAACCATGGTTTCCCGAGAGGGAATGAGATGCTGCATCCCCTCGCCATGCCTTTGGTCTGCCCGTTTACATGTCTTTCAGACAACCAAGTTGGTGATGTATTCAGCAGGAGCCCTTTTATACTTCCGGGCACCCGCCTCTGCATGTAACAGAAACAGCAGAGCTGAATGAGACGCAGATGCACCCTCTGCCAGCAGGTGGCGCTTCTTGAAACACTCGCTTCGCTCGCTTTGAAACGTTTCACAGACATAGTACACACTGCTTGAAAACATACGGCTCCTGAAGACAACAAAAGTTGACATATTCAGCAGGTGCCCTTTTATACTTCCGGGCACCCGCCTATGACGTCATGGGCCACGTGGTCCAATAGGATTGGTGTTGTTTCACACGTGCTTCAGACACCGGTCATTCTGGCAGCATTCCCTATTGTGTCCACTAGAGGGACGTAGCATTGAGTTCCCTAGAAGGGGAACCATGATTACATGCGTAACCCGAGATGTTCCCTTACAACTTACCACCATTTCCAAGAGTGACACTTCTAAGCCACTGAATATTCAACATCGCGGTGTGTACTTTTTTTATACATGATCAGATGTGTGTTATAAATCCAACTTTATATCTGAGATCTCAAACAAACCAGAATATGGATTACAACCATACTCTCAGGCTTTGTATCTTTGTTCTTTCCTATTTGCTTGTAAGCTCAAAAACATGGTTTTATCAACTCCATTGAATTTGGGTGTGACACAATGAAATTAACCAGTAATACTTTAGCTCTGCAAGTGTTCTTAATAAATATTGTAATCCTTTGTGGTGAGGAGAGATCACTCCCAGTCATTCCATTGCTAATAAACGTATTAAAGAAAGAACACTTTACTCCAGACTTTTTTCTTATAGAATTCCAGCAGGAGGAACTCACCCTCCACCACTCCTCATTGGAGTCATCCAGCACTGTGATGCGATCTCCTGGACTGAAACACAAGCACACATATATACACTTAGCACATTTGACCAGATTTACAATTGGAACAAATAAATAACTTACGATGCTTATGACTATGTATGAAAGCTATGGCTAAACTGAAATGTTAACAAATATGTGAATAGACTCACTGGAAGTCCAGGTCATCTTTCTCGATGGCTTTAAAGCGATACAAAGCCATATAATAGTGAGACTGACTGAATGTCTGCTGCTGCTTCTTGTTCTGCAAACATCAACATCAACAGAAGGTTAGAGGGTTTTATTTGCCTGTTACGACCAAAACCAGATTCAGACTTAGTTGCAACATGTTGAAGCGTGTACTACTTGCCAAAGCATATGTTTAACAAAGTCTCTCACAGTTAAAGAAATTTGTTTTATTTATTTTTTCTATAGAACCAAAAAAAAAAAGTTGAAAAACAGTCTTGCTTCCTCTGCATTGTGGTTAGTGGAAGCCCCATGATATTTTGTATAATGATATGGGTTCAGAAAAACTACTTATCTGACCTTTACCAAATTTGGCTTGGATCTTCTGACAATGAAAACAAGTCAAAGTTATCAACAGTCTTTGGTCACTAGTTGGTTACTTTGCATTTACCCCCAGGATAAGGGAGCTTCCCAAAATCGTATTTTCTATTTAGTTAAAAATCTACTTTGTGATCTTATTTCCTGTGTGGGTCATTGAACACTATCTTTGGTAGGAACCACAATGCAAGTGTTTAATTCAGGTGATGCTTACTGTATTGTTATTGTTTGCGGAAGCTGTCAGGCTCACACCACTTATAGATACTGATGAGGCAGGATGCATGTATTTTCCTCTCGCAATGGAGGGAGGCTGATGTGCATCATGACATTTTTCAGAAGACAGGGGACATTTCCTCATAGAAAAAAATGACAAGCTGATCTCGATCTGTTGAGTTCTTTGGAAGTCTGCTACACTTGGAATCTGTCATAGGCCTCATTTTCTAATTGCACCTCAGGAGGCACTAGCTTCAAAAGATATTATTATTATTTTTTTTATTTTATTTTTTATTTTTTTGCTTATAACTTCTGAATTGTTTGCACGTGAGCTGAATGAGCTTAAACCCAATGTTCCTATGTTGACCGACCATACTTTTAACAAATGCACTGCTAATATGGCTATATATATATTTTTTTATAAAACCTTCATGAAGGGATCTGAGAAGCCACACAGTGATCAGAATATGATAAATATAAAATATAATAAAGTGAACAAAAAGCTTGACTATTGATTACATACTTCTGCTTTTGATTTTTAACCACTTATCTAAGACATACCTGTTTTTCTGTATATTTTTTCTTCTTTTTTGAAAGCCATCTATTACTGAAGTTATGAGCAGGTACCATATGCACTCTGGAGTTAAGTATGTGCTTCTTGCTAATGCTGGGTACACACCACAAGATTATCGGGCTGATTTTGGGCCGATTTCTCCCCTTCCGAAAATCCTAGGTATGTCCCGATCATCTTGGCTTATCAGATTTTCCTGTGGTGTGAGGTGTGTTAAGAGTGACTGAATCTGCTCGGAAGAACGTCGGTGGTGCCCTGATTGCGAATCGTAAATTTTCAAAATGTTGAATATTTACGATCACAAATCCTGATGTGTGGGGGGAACCCTGAGGACAAATGCGCCTACGATCTGGAGATTATCACGTGAAACGAAACGATATCCAATCAGAAAGTGAGCTGACAGAAGACGGGAGCATAACAAACGCAGTCATGGCACAGCACAAAAGGATTTGGACAGCAGTGATGGAGGATCAGCTTGTCGATTTGTGGCAACAGCACGAGTGTTTAAACAACGTGTCCTGAAAAACATATTTATTCTCAAGTCTCGAGAGATTTTGAGAGATTTCCTGTGTTCACAGTCGGGACTCTGGCTGAAAATCTGTTGCTGTGTGGTGTGCTGTCTTTGTCACATCGCGGCACACCCCACACTATAGGAGCAAAACAGTTAAATCTAGGATTTTTTGTCTTCATGTTTTTGGTCTCTCACATTTTGAAGATCTTATACGATTAAAAAAATCTTTTAGTGTGTACCCAGCATAACATAGAAATAGCAGACAGAAATGAGTACAAACATTTCCTTTCTGACCAGAGTGAAGACTGAAATTCTGGTCTCTAGATATGGCTTGGGTTTATAGAATTTTTAATTCTTCACCTACTTAGCAGAAGTCTTAAAGGGGATATCAGATGCAAAATTCACTTTTACATGGTGTTTGTACGTCACACAGGCCAAGGCCGCTTCCACGATTGTTGATTGACACAGACCTGCCCTGAGTGAGCTGTCATCAGTCCGCCATTGTTACCAGGCCGGACCAGGTGTAGAAGACAGGTGTAGTGTGCTTTGTTGTTGGATGTAATAATGAACATAGCAGTCGTCATTTACTCCCGACATCTGAGCCACTGAAGACGCAGTGGATTATGTTTGTTTTTGAAGAGAGTGCGCCACCAATCTATCTAAATGCGTGTTTGTGCGAATCATTTGTGATCCAGCTTTACCTACAGAAGAAGTGAGTATAAGGTTCCTCTTCAGAAACTCGAGCTGCGTCAAAACGCTTTGGGAACGCCTTCAGCGTGACCACGCTCTGAATCACATGTGTAATCAGTCCAATGGATGGGCACACAAGCATATTATGCCTAATATTATAATGAGCAGCATTACTGGGGAGCGGAGCTCGCGCAGTCAGCTCTCGGGGGGCTGATTGTGCTTTTCCCGCTGTTAAACGCTCCGCCCTCGCTGGACACGCTCCGAGGAGTGTGTCCGTGCCTGTGATTGTTACTGCCTTGCTTCGCTCTCAGAAGGCTCTCTTTGAGGAGGGAGCCTTCACTAGCATTCCTTGCGGTGCCGGCCCCGCTTTCGCCGAGGCGGAGCGGCGGCTGTGATCGTGGGGTTTGCATATGGATCTGGTGGAGGGAATGTAGACGGGCGAGTCCCTATCTTCTTCCTCACCCACCATATCCAGCGCCCGCTCTCAGGGTTCGGAAGCCCTCGCTGCGGTTCTTCCCCCCGTGGAGAGGGCTCGACGCTCCGCCTGTCTTCCTCTGAGGAGGTTGATATGGAGGGGGGCTGATTGTGCTTTTCCCGCTGTTAAGAACTCCGCTCTTGCCGGGCACGCACGGAGTGTGTCCGTGCCTGTGATCTTGCGGTTCCGGTCCCACTGCTGCTGAGGCATGGTGGCGATTGAGTTCGCGGGGACTGCACATGATCTGGTGGACGGGTTGGAGACGGGCTCTCCCTATCTCCTCCCACGGTCCCTTGATCTAGCGCTCACTCTCAAGGCTCGGAAGCCCGCGCTGCGGTTTCTTCCCCCTCTGAGTGAGAGCTCGCTGCTGCAGTTATCTTTCTCCGAGGAGATTGATATTGTTTGTGTGACCAAATGGGTCGCGCGCTGCCGAGGCAATGCGTGCATTACATCATTTTCAGTTTTTGATATGAATCTTATCACACCAGACCGTCTTTACCCGTCTGGTTGTTTGGCTGCATTTAATTCTGAGGAAGTAAATGAAGTATTTATCTGACTATGAGAAGTTAGATATACAGGGGCTCTTGGGATAAAAAGTTCTCCAGTGAGAGCAGGTGTTTACCTCTCTTCCTCCGAGGAGGTTGAGGCGGTCAGCAGGGGCTGCTGGGCGGGAGCAGTCACCTCTCGTACTCCGCAGAGTCTAGAGTCAGAGTGGCGCTCCCAGGCCGAAGGCTTCTAGAAAGGCTTCTAACCGTTTCCTGTTTCCTGTCTGCCGTGCTGCTGAGTGGTTTGTGATTGCAGCTCCGTGTAGCTTCGCTTTTCTGTTTAATCTTACTATCACTCTCTCTTGTTTAAAGTGATAAAATATAGCTTAATTCCCACCATATTTCTGATATTATCTATCAAACTAATCTGATTAATTTGATCGTTCGCTTTTATTCTAAAACCGCGATTAGAATGCGTGCATTAACATTCATTAGCCGGTTAGCTTGTCGTTCGTGTTTCCATTTCACGTCTATTGCTGTTTTCTTTTTTTCTCGCTCCATTTCTTTTCTCTCTCGCTCAATTTTTTCACGAGTTCATCAAACAACAGTGGTAAGTTGATAGCAATCTTTCCTTTGAAAGCCATGTTTCTAGCATTTGTACAACTGCATTTCTCCATCTCAAAAATATATCTAAATCACGACCTATGCTCTCAATGTCAAATTCAGAAATGTTAATTCATGCATTCATAACCTCAAGGTTAGATTATTGCAATG